GTTGTTTTTAAATCGGTCCTCAATGCGCAGTTTGTAGTTGTATTTAGCAGATTGAATTCCCCTCTTCAGATTGGACCTGGATAAGCTGTAGGCTTCACGGTCGCCAGATTTGAAAGCAGCGTCACGTGCCTTCAGTAGGAGCCGGATTTCCTTGTTCATCCAGGGTTTCTGATTGGGGTACATTTTAATTATTTTATGGGTGGTTACCTTGCCAACACATTCGTTGATATAATGCAGAACAGAGCTGGTGTAGGTATTAACATCTGTGTGGGAGTCCAGTGTGGCCCGAGAAGCAAACAAATTCCAGTCTGTGTTCTGAAACTCCTGCTGTAGTGAAGAGTCTGCTTCTTCCAGCCAAACTTTAACAGCCCTCACAGTGGGTTTCACACGTTTGATGATTGGGGTGTATTTGGGTAGCAGGAACAGGGAGAGGTGATCAGATTGTCCAACGTGGGGGTGGGGAGTTGCTTTGTAAGCATCAGGGATGTTTTTTTGTAATGTAGCTGTATGTGAATGAAAATGATCTGCAAAGTTGTAAAGCCGAAAGTGCACAATAAATAAAGATATTGTCTCCTAAAAGAAAGAATCGGCTCTGAACAGCCGAAACGAGTCGTCAGTAATTCGAATACCACTTCCGTGACGGCTACACGTTTTAGGGTAACATATTTGCATAATACCTGCCTATTTTCTACGTTGGCCGGCCGTGAATAACTTGACTCACTCTAGTTTGTTTGTGTGGTTAACATCATGTTGAGAAGACTCTGTGTCCTACACTGTGAAAGTAAATTTATTTTATTTTCACATCCAAAAGATGAGGCTGCAAAGAATCAGTGGTTAAAATTATTATTTTTTCACTGTACCACAGCAGTACAACCCCAATCTTTTTTTTGTGTTCCCGTCATTTTACTGATGACTGCTTCTCTAATCTTGGGGAGTTCAACGCAGGATTCACAAAACGATTGCTCTTGAAAAATGGCTCAGTACCCAGTTTATTTGAACCGGCTGGCTCCACTGAATCATAACCTGTAAGCATGATAAATAATAGATGTTTATATTTTCTATTGAGCATTCAAAATATGGATCTATGGTGTATCGTTTCTAACACTCACTGTACGTGGTAGACCAATCACAACAGACTGGGCCATCTGACCAATCAGAGCAGAGTAGGCTCATGGTAAGGAGGGGTTTAGAGAGACTAAATCTTAGAACTGCTTCGAACAAATAGTTCGAGAATCACTGGAAAATAAGGTGATATTAAATGCATATTTTGAGAAAACAAAAGCGTGTAGGACCTGCTGTAGGAGACTCCCAAAACAACATTAGGAACCTTAAAAATGGCATAATAGGGACACTTTAAATTCTTCCTCACAACCCTGAAATACTCTCTATGTAAATAGGAGAAAACAAAAGGAGGAAAACAATATTACAGCCAAGGTAATCTAAAATATCATTAAAACTGAGGTGGTCACTCATGACCACTTATTTGAACACAGCATACGGGAAAAAAGGCACAAAAAAGTTTCTTCAAATTATGTTTTGCTGCTCATCTCCCAAGTAAAACAGGCTTCATAAAAACAGGCAGTAAACTTTAATTGTTTTGTGACAAGATAAAACAGCAGTAATGGATCTCGAGTGAAACTTGGACACATCTGTCGCAAGCAAATAGGAGGATTAAATTCATCCACAACACTCAAGACTGCATTTCCCAAAACTGATCAGCTGTTTATAGGTATGTTTGGGATTTTTGTGTGTTCTCTTACCTGTTTCTGGAGGTCTTGTATTCGACCTTGAGAATGGGTTTACATGACTCTTTTCTACCATCTCTTTGAGTCTTGCCTGAAAAAAAAAAACAAAGAGACAAAATAGCAAGTTCTCACTTTTTCACCTGAACCTTTCTTACGTTTATGTCCAGAACTTTCTGATTAAGAAACCACTTTTCCCAGTGTGAGCATGTTCATCTTTATATAACCACTGAGCTCAAGGCCAGGACCCCAAACATAGCGGCAAAGATTGAGAGTGAATCACTTATTCCTGTCAAATCAAACTTGCACACACACACGCTGTGAACCCACACACTGAATCATCCTCCATAATGAACACACCTGGTGAGGGGGTGTGTTTGCCGACTACGTCAGAATCAGATTTCACTAATAGATGGTGAGTCATGGCCGAAGGGGTCTTTAACTGTGTGTGGGGGTTTACTTACCTATACTTTGGGGTCAAATTTAGCTCCAGAAGTTAGTTAAGACTGGCAAAACCTCCCTTTTGGAACATTTGAAGATGTATTTATTTGAGGAAAACGATTCATAAATCAAGGAAATATATATTTTTTATATTGTACAAATGAAAATATTTTAAAGATTTGTTTGGGTGTGGGTTAAGGTTAGTCTGGTGTAAATATAATAGCTTTATATGAAAACAATAAAAGGCTATGTCCTAATTTAGGGTATAAGGATGATATTCCTGCAACATTTTTTTCTTTAAATTAAATTAAGTTGAAAAAAAATGTTTTGCACTAATTATTATTAATATGTGACAAAATTATATACTTTATGCGTGTACTCACCATGAGGGAAGGTGACTTGTAAAGGTTTGGCTGTGTTTCTCAGGTTCCACATGCTCAGACTGCCGTCAGAATGACTGCACATGAACTGCCGCCCCTCATGATGCCAACTTACTGAGTGAATAGCCTGACAGAGAGACACCAGAAGAGAAACGATCAGGACTGCATCAGTAAACATTTTAAATGATGACCAGATCATAAAACAGTTCATTTGTTTCATAATGTTAATTTGTTTGGCTATTTTTGTGACACAATGCAGCAGAGGATAGGAAATGAGGAAGAAAAGAGAATGAACGTGACCCAGCTATTGCAAGCTGGATTTGAACTGGCATAGGCACCATAGCTCAATGTGTCAGACAGCTTTGACTAGGTAAGATCCGAGTAATAATTGCTATATATAAACTAGAAGAATTAATGTAAATTGTAATAAAATATCACACTATTGCTGTATTACCGTATTTTCGATAAATGCAACTTTGGTGAATCTAAGAGAACAATAAATCTCTCTCTCTCTCTCTCAGACCTTTATCCATCTGAGAGTCAATAATCCAATATCAGTAATTACTCCACCATCAAAGCAGCCTGATTTCCACTCATCCCTATATATAAACTAGAAGAATTAATGTAAATTGTAATAAAATATCACACTATTGCTGTATTACCGTATTTTCGATAAATGCAACTTTGGTGAATCTAAGAGAACAATAAATCTCTCTCTCTCTCTCTCTCTCAGACCTTTATCCATCTGAGAGTCAATAATCCAATATCAGTAATTACTCCACCATCAAAGCAGCCTGATTTCCACTCATCTACTCAATAATGTCACACAGTAAATAATAAGTGAAATTATATCAGCGTCAGATTTATTTGATGTTTGTTAGTAGCGTGTATGAAAACGGTTTAAAGTGTTTGATGCTGATGTTCTGTATTATTCAAAAAGGCACACCATGAAATCAGATTAAATTTAATCTAAAGGTGGTTAGTCAAACATGATAGTGGTTGTTCTGTGTTCAGTCTATTTGTAGAAATTAATGCGGGGTAAAGGGTTTTGTGCCTTTCCAAATCTATTCCTATTTCTTTCAACATTAACAATCTCATCCATTTGTGTCGTGTTTCTCATTCCATACTGTCTTTTTGCTCCCAGTTTCTCTCTTCTTCCCTCTCTCTCGCTCAAAGTCCTTTCTATTAAAAGTATGTTTTTTTGTGCAAACCAGACGGGCATCTAAAGCAGCAATTAGCAGACCCCTAGACATTTCCATTTACCCACTCTGACAAACGCTTGCAGAGCGACGGTGCCTCTGTACAGGCGGCGCTGACAGATGATCAGAGGGCGCAGTCAACGAATTGAAACCCGCAGTAAAGGGTTGGAAGGAGAAAATGGCGAGTTTTTGGAAGGTTTTGTGTGTGCTGCTGTGAGCCAAGGGGCGCTGTGACTGAAACATGTTTTAGAAGGATGAATGCGAGCAGCTGGCTGCAGGAGACAGTTCCCCTTTCAGAAGAAAGATAAAGGTGTGTGCCAAGCAGTGATTATGCTAAACACATCCACATGGCACAAGGAGGGAAATTAAATCAGAAAAGTGACTTGTGTTCAGTGTTGTTGTAAATCAGCAACAGTGTGGGAAAAAAAAGTTTTTCGTACCAAAAGTAAATTTACCTGGACAATGGAGAGCGAGAAAGACGCAATTTTTTATTTATATCGCCTAGTTTTTTTGCTCTTTCTCCAATTTATTTTTGTTTGTCTTGTTTTTGAGGAGGGCTGGATTATAACAAGATGATAAAACCAGAACTTTCAGGTCAGCAATGCAAAAATGTCAACAATTCTGTGTTTTTCTGTCAATATGGGGTGCTGTGTGTACATTAATGAGGAAAAAAAATTCACTTAAATTATTTTAGCAAATGGCTGCAATATAACAAAGAGTGAAAAATTTAAGGGGGTCTGAATACTTTCCGTACCCACTGTATATAAATGAAGCATATATGTCTGTATTTTCATATATAAACACTCCACACAATTAAAATGAATACACTTCATATATATATATATATATATATATATACTGTATAGTGCCCCCAATCTGTTTTATATATTATAATATATAAGTAGCTTTATGCAAAAAATACATGTTACCTTTGTAAGGAAGTGTAAATGACAAACATTTAAGACTCACCTCATCATAGTGTATCCTGAAGTCAGTTCTTTTGGCCCTCAGGTCCCACATTACTATTGTACCACTCTCAAAACCTATCAGCAACTGAGGAACACACACAGAAGAGAGAGAGAGAGAGAGATACAAGAGTTTATAAATCTCAACAGAATGGCAATAAATAGAGGAATCAGAGGTAAGAGTGTGTGTTACAAAATTCAAGCCCCTTTTGACTGTTTTGGTTCAGAACAAAACAGACACATCGGTGATTGGGCACATTTATTATTTAACTGTACATGATGGAGCAAGCGCTAATCAAAACAGTCCCATGCTTCATCCTGGGAATCTTCTCTCTGTCACAGATGTTGGGCAAAAATTCTGAATTTAAGCACTGGCTCCCATTCAGATCATGTGGGTGGATTTGAACTGAACTGGCCACACACTTCAGGAAGTTGAATTGGAATTTGAATTGGAATGAAAGGAAAAGAAATGTACTAAACTGCTATTTCATCACATCTGAACAGTTCTTCCTTTAATTCAAATTCAAATTAAATAAACATTGGACTGTCATTACCTTTGTCTGTGCTACAGGATATTTTCTGTTTTGTCTTCTTTTCCAAACCATTATTGGTCCCTTAAACCCGTCCGTATAAGTTCCCATAATGCATCTAACCTGCTGTGACCACAACAGCATGTAACCACAGCAATCCTGCCTGATTATTTTCCTGGAAGATGACCTCACGGTACCCACTACAAAATGCCATGCCTCCTGCTGGAGATAGTTACCCAAAAATGAACATTTCATCACTCACCTCCATGTCATTCTACCCTGTATATAATGTTCTTTCTTCCAGGAAACACAAAAGAAAATGTTAGGCAGAATGTTCAAGCTGTTCTTTTCCATACAAAACTGGATGACAATTGGATGGTGAATTATACTGTCAAGCTCCAAAAGACCTACTGAAGATTTAAAATACAGTGCATGAAAACTCGGATGCATAAATCACTATGCATTTTCATTGTGCATAAAATAACAATTCAGACTTTCTGCCTAACATCTCATCATACAGGGTTGAAATAAAATGAAGGTAAGTACATGATGACAATTTTTAATTTTTTTTGGCTGAACTATTCCTTTAAATGAATGTGAATGTGTGTGTTTGTGAGAGTGAGAGAGATGTTTTTAGTATGCATCCTCAATACAAGATGTTAACACCAGTAGTCGGGGTGAACATCAGGTCACATAACAAGTATATGCGTGCGTGTGCGTGTATCCTGATGAGTGTTAATGAATCAGAACTGTGCCAACGCATGCAAAGTACCTTTTATAATGAACTCCAGCAGTCACACTAAGGAATATTTATTTATTTATTTTATTCATAGCGGTAAAGCTATTTGTGCTCAATAGTTCTTATCTTTCTAAAATGTTTTGAGCTCTTGATTCTAGTGAAAAATGCGAAAAAGGAGAAATGCATTCGTCACCTTTCCCTCATCTTTTGGACTGTCACTCAGATGAACAACGGGACCTGGATGTGTCTTTGTTGATCTGGGGAAGAGAGAAAAAGAAAAATGCCTTCAAAAAATAACAGGTCGATGGAAATGACACATTCTCTGTGCTTGCGGGTTATAGTTCATGTCTGTTAGCTCTGTGGTAATCTATAGGCATACATACTCATAAAAGCTGACAAAATAAACGTTCAACAGATACACACATATAAAAAGTATTTCTCTTTGTGGTTTAGCAATGTGTCTTAAGCTAACTTATATTGGCTGACTCTAAAATTGATGAGATCATTTGGATACGCTGAGCACAAACATCCTGTTTCAACAGGAAATACAGTACATCAAGGCTGAATCCATCACATCATTCCATGGGGGAATAATAATACTGAAATCAATTCACTAATGATAATGTCTCTGGTTTTGCAGTAATCTATTCTGTTTAGCCATAACAGAAAATTGGTGTATAGCAACATTAAACTGAACAAAAAATTTAATCAATTAATAGATTAAATTAAGAAGAAGATGACTTTTGTCAGACAACAGGTTAATGGTAAATGCTAGAAAAGTCTGAAATGTCCAAAATTGGACACATCAAGGTCTACTTTTCAGCAAAATTTCAAAGGCAAAGAGCGACAGGTCAGAAAATGTGCTCTGACAGCCTCCAGTGAAATGACTTCCCTGGTATTGTGTGAGGATGTGCCAAGTACAAGAGAGATCGAAAAATAGTAAAGTGAAGGAGAGAGTGAGGAGGATACAAAAGAGTTTTATACAGACACGTCATTCCCATTCAGACCGACCCCCAGTGGGACTAAAAAGTGGCCCTGGCTTTCTGGCACACAAAGGTCCATCACATCTGGTCTTCAACACTCCATACCATAACACACTCCACACACAAATAACAATGATGCACTTTTTATGATGCATTTTTAGCACAACTAACATAAAAAATATAACACAATACAAAAAATGTATGCTAAATAAATCTGCTTCTTTTAGACCTGACAAAGACGTAATCAAAATGAAATGGTTGCAGTTCATGAGCCCTGGTGTTTCCATGCATGAACTGTGTTCCGATTGACAGGGTCCCTTCACAGTGTTCATTGCTCCCTATTCCCTGAGCACAGGAAATCCGTTGAAGTTTACTTTACTTCAGAATATCCATTCACGGATTTGCGCTACACCACGATCTGCAACGTCTTCACACACAGACAAAACTGTAACTGTAACTGAAATGTGAAGTGTGACATAATATACCTCTGTAAATAAATACAATTTAAATTCACATCTCGCACATTTTAATGCCCTCTGAATGGAACATATACGCTCCCTTCAAACTGGAATCATGGTGAAATATCCTGTGAAGTTCACTTCGCAGGGCACTTATGGTCGAATAGAACAAACATAAGAGATACATACTAAATGTGCAGAGCGGGGGGGTCGAGAGGACTAGAATTGAGAACCACTGTTCTAAAAGAACACACTTGGAGTCATCTTGAATGAATGAATGAATGAATGATGCATTTATATAGTGCTTTATTGTGTGTTGTTGTACACCCAAAGTGCTTTACAATCATGTGGGGGGTCTCTCCTCAACCACCACCAGTGTGCAGCATCCACTTGGATGATGCGACGGCAGCACAGGACAACGGCACCAGTGCGCTCACCACACACATTAGCTACAGGTGGAGCGGAGAGAGAGCGATAGAGCCAATCAAGTGGTAGGGAATTATTAGGAGGCCATGATTGACAAAGGCCAGGGGGGCAATTTGGTCAGGACACCGGGGTTACACCCCTACTCTTTTATGAGAAGTACCATGGGATTTTTAATGACCACAGAGTGATCTTGTCCAAAAGACAAAAATAAAATTGTTTTTTAAAAAAAATAGTTTCTTTCTTTTTTTTTTTTTACATTTAAGATGTGACTTTGTCCTAAATATGAATTAAATTTAAAACTATTACTGTAGAACAAAACTTAAAAAGTTGCTTATTAAAGGTGCTCATCTAGCTGCACCTTCCACACATCATTTGCTTTATAGGCCTACTAGAAATTCTGTCATTGTCTACACACCCTCACTGTCACTCAAAAACTTCACAGATCCCATGGACTTCATGGAGTTATAACTAAAATGTCAAAGCTGCTCTTTTTCATACAACAAGAATACAGTAAATGGTGATTTGTCAAGTTCAAGTTGCAATTGTGCTTGGATTATTAAAAAAGTTATATATTAGGTTGGGATTTGAACTTTGGAATACTAAATGAAAACTGTACCATGAGACTAACATGTTTCACACATATATTGAATTTAAGACACAAATATACGTCTTTTCTCGCCTAGGGCACCAAGTAAAGCAGGACTGCCACTGTGCCTCCTAAATAAGTGCCTTCTCCAGAGATGCTTGGCCAACAAAAACCAAAATATTCCATAATGCCTCCAGCCATATAGTTATATATATAATTCTAGCACCATAGCAGAAAAGAAACTCATTTAGCCAACTAATCAATCGCAATGTAGAAGAAAAAAAAAAGAAAAAAAAATTATATGTGTGTGTGTGTGTGTGTGTACACGTTTTTGTGACAAATGAGGACATACATTTGTATAATGACAAAGGTATGACATGGGTATTACAAGGAGAAGGTGACTTTTCAGGACATTACCCCATGTCCCCCACTTTTCAAAACGCTTATAAATCACACAGAATGGAGTGTATTGAAAATCTGAAATAGCACAAAGTATCCTGTAAGGGGTAGGTTTAGGGGTAGGGTTGGTAAAGGGCAATAGAATATACGGTCTGTACAGTATAAAAACCATTATGCCTATGGGATGTCCCCCCTTTTCACAAATGTAAACCTGTGTG